ATGCGTGTGTGCTGTCCCATGCATGTGCTGCCACACACGTGTGCACTGCCACACATGTGCTCTCCCAGCACTCCCTGAGCCTCCCAGCTCCCCGGCCGAAGCCGTGGGGCTGCAGCACAGCTGGGAGCTGCTGCTTTATCACTGCACTTTTAATGCTCCTTCCTTTTATTTTAACAGTTCCCACCAATTTTACAGTTTCTTCCCCCAGATCCAAACCTGCAGCCCTGCCAGGCCATGTTCCTCTCCCAAGGATGCTGTATGGCCCCGGGCCAGCTGGTCCAGGGACAAGGCCCCGTCTCCCATCAGTGGAATCTGGGTGGGGGCCACCCACCTCCCACCCTGCCCTGGTGTGGGGTGACCCCTCAGCATCTCCCATTCATGTTTCAGGGCAATGACCAGGTTCGGTTCGAGCTCACCTGCTACGCCCTGTGTCCTAAGATCAAGGTAAGGCACCCAAAATTGTCCCACTGCTGGGCTCCTGGCCCCCTCCCCAGCTGCTGGGGAATTTTGTTTTAACACTGATGCGAGCGGTCGTGCCTTGCTTTAACAAGCTGCCAGCTGCACCAAGCGACGTTTTGGCATTTGAGGGGGCTGTAATGATCCTTAATTGACCTATTTTCACCCCAAACACTACAAGGCCACAGAGGAAACAGTACCAAGGCAGCTGCCGGATAATCGATGCTGCGCCCAGCGCCTTGTTAGGGTCAGGGATTTGGGTTACTCCACCCTTGTGCGGGGAGATTAAATTTCAGCTGGGGGACTGGAACCATGTGGGTCCCAGCTCCCCGGGGCTGGTAGGAGCCCTCCCCTGCGGGGAGCCCGTGGGGTGCCAAGGGGCAAAGGGGGCCCAGGGGTTGCAAGGGGGCTGGGGGCTTCTCACCTCACGCTCCTGCCCTCCGCCAGGTTGTCGCGCCGTGGAGGCTGCCCGAGTTTTACCAGCGCTTCCCTGGGCGCCGCGAGCTGATGGACTACGCCAAGGTAGGGATGCTCGGGGCGGCTGCGGGATGCTCAGCGGGTGGGAGCAGCAAGCCCTGCGTGACATCCCTGCAGCATCACGCTGGAGCCTTCTGGTGTGGGCTATTCTCCCCTCCATGTGTTTTTTTTTCCTCCTTTCTTTCTAAAAGCCCCATAATTACCTGGCTATTAATTGTAACCCGTTTTCCAAAGAAGCTGGTCCCAGCTCCCTGGCTTGTGTAACAGACAAAGCAAATACATTTGCCTTTGTTTTCCCTTCCTTTTTGAAGTACAAGTTGCAATAAAACATATTAGAAGTTTTGCATCAGGTTTTTACGTGCCCACCAGGGTACCTTTCTTTTTTAGCGACTTCATGGAAATGCTTGACAACTCGGCTCAATCAATCACAAGGGAAAAGGCAGCTCTGTGCGTAAACCAGAAAATTGCTTCGGTTTTTAAATAGCTGCCATCGAGGCTGCCTGGGTAATCTCTGGGAAGGCAAGGTGCGGAGCTGGAGGGATGTGGCGCGGGGCGAGGAGCCCTCCGAGCCCATTAGGGCAGCCGAGAGCAGCGTGTTGAGGATTGTGTTTGCCATCTGCCGTTGTATTATGAAGGGGCGAGTTTACGAGAGCTTTCCATATGTTGCCAAACAAATCGTCAAATGGGGGAGTTATTAAGAGCGCCACGGTTTTATTATATGGAAAATGGAACATGTGTTTTGGGTTTGGGGTTTTGTTTGGGGTTGGGGTTTTTTTTGTTTGGAAGGGGTGGAAAAAGGGAAATGGAATGGGTTGGGGCCCCATTCAAAGAGAAAAGGTTGGCGTTGAGGGTTTGTAGTGTCTCTCGGTCTCTGGTTATGTTTGGCATTAAAATAAAATGGGGATTCCCTTCTTTTTCACGCTTGGGAGAGGGAGCTGCGTGGCCAGGTCCTTTCAGCACCTGGATGCACTCACCTCGGTGCTCGGGGTTTTATAACGTGATGATGTTTGGAGCTCGGTTGCTGCCAGGGAACGCGGGGATCCGTGCTGCTGTGGCACAGCGCTTGCTGTAGATTTGCTGCCCGGGGCTGGAGCCAGCCTTGCTCCAGCAGCAAGCTGCCCCAGCGCCCGCTTCATCCCTACAAGCAGCCAGGGCTGAAACCCCTCAGTGAGCAAGGTGAGGCTCTCCTGGATGCTGCTCCAGGACGAGCCATCGCCATGGGACAGAGCTCGTCAGGGCTGTGCCCTGAGAACGAGATGTCTCCTTCCTCGTGGGACACTTGGCCCTGGCCCAGGCTGCCTGGTCCTGGCAGTTGTAGGTACGTGGGTCTGGACTCGGAGGATCCCCCTTGAAGTGATAGCGTGGGATGAGGATGGGCTGGGGAGCACGGGCGTCCCTGGATGCCAGGAGGAGCAGCAGGGCGAGGAGAGAGCCAACTGGGGCTGGTGCCGCGCAATCGGTAGGTATTTGTGTCTGAAAGATGGTTTATTTATCGGGGTGTGATGGATAGCGCGGGGAGAGCTCATCAGAGGGCACAGCCTCCCCTGGCGCCGCGCAGCTGAGTGCGGCCCATCAGGGCCCTCGGCATTAATTTCTTAGCTTTAATTAACTAAGTTGAAAATAACTAAGGTGAAATGCCCTCTGCCAACATCTGCGAGGGTGCTGGGATGAGGAGGTCGGTGCCGACGAGAGCGTGGTCTGACCCCAGGCTGGGCTGAGGTCTGTCCCCCAACCCACGGTCTCCCCTAGCATTATTTGGGGGGGCTTTGGGGGGCTGGGAGGCACCTGCAGCTCCATCCGTCTGAGGGACGGGAGAGGGAGAGCCATCTTCTCACTGTTTGCTGGAGAAGCCAGGTGATCCCCAGCACATGTGCCCAGCAGGCAGCGTTTTGCCCTCCCAGCAAGCCCAAGCTTGACTTTTGAAGCCTGTGGGAAGTATTGACATGCTCTGCCAGCTCTCCCTGTGGGCAAGGTCTGTGGGCAAGGTCTGCGGGCAGGAGGGCAGCCCTGCAGAGGGGCCTGGGTTGAGGAGGTGAAGGCTGCCCGGCACCCACCTCCAAAGCCTGGGATGGGGTTCCCGGGGGATCCCACAGTGGAAGTATGGTGTGGGACCAGAAAACCAGGACCTGTTAGTCTGGAGCAATGTCCCCCAGTGCGTGGGGCTGAGTGAGTCACTCTGCAAGCTTAGGAGGGTATCTCAGGACCTTGCTCCCATCTCAGATGATGGGTTGAGGACCACAAATGAACCACCACAAGCGTTTGCTTTCCCTCTTCGCAGCAAACAAGGAGCCTCTGCTCAGCCGCTGCTCCTCAGTTCCCGGCTCAGCCCTTGGCTGCTGTTCCCACTGAGGTGACACTGAAGCAGCAGAGCTGCCCGGCAGTCTACAGGCTGTATGGACACATTGAGGCATGGTGGGAACCCACAGCCACCACTGCTTCCAGCCCTGGCTCGCCATGGTCATCCCGCAGCTGGGACATCGAGGTTCAGCACACTGGCAGGGTGGGCAACGTCCCCACTGGCTCTGGTTTTTAGCTCGCTGCCGTTGCCTCTCCCGCTAATTCCCCTGCGTATTCACCTTGTCTTCACAGGCAATTTCCCCCATTGAAATGTCAGCGGATAATTGAGCGCGCCGGTGACCTTGTTAGGGAGCTGGGCCCGGCGCTGTGCACTGCGCCGGGGAGGCAGCCGGTGCGGGGCCGTGCGGCCCTGGGCCCGGCGCAGTCGGGGGAACGCG